AAAAAAAAAAAAAAAAAAAAGAGAAAAAAAAAAAGACACTTGCTCTGAGGAACCTGTTCCTTGCAGAAGCTTGGACCCCACTGGAAAAAGGATGGAAGAAGTGGGCGGACGGCCACAAAAAAGGGGCAAAGAATTTTGGAACGCCGGAAAGCAGTTTTGTGGGGACCTCACCGCAGAGGACCAAATGCGCTTGGAAAAACCTTTGGAAATCAGTTGAGCCTATCGTTGCCTGTCTCCGTGGGCACTCATTTGTTTTGTTTTTTTTCTTTTCTTTTTATTTGTGTTTTTTTTTTTTTTTTTTTGTGGCACTCTTCATCGGTATTGGGCCTATTGGCTGCTGCCTCCAGTGTCCCATGAGACTTTTCCAGGCCACGGACTATGCGAAAACACAAAACGATGTTTTTCCAAGCCGCAGTCTTCGGTCCATGGTGTCCCGGAAAACGGTTGGCGGAAAAAACTTCACCTTTGATATTTGAAAATATAATGTCAACTGTGCAAGCCTTGGAAATTATAGGCAGAAAAAGAAGAGATGTAACAGTACTCCTATTGGATATGGAAAAAGCCTACGACGAGGTAGGATGGTGCTTCGTTTATACGACACTGAAGAAATTGGGGTTTGGTGAGACCTTCATTAGGGCAGTCAAAGCGAGCTATCATCAAGTTCGCTCGGTAGTAGTAGTGAATGGTAAAGTATCAGAGGAATTTAGCCTTACCCGTTCGCTGAGGCAGGGGTGCCCCCTTGCTCCTCTCCTTTTCGTAATACAGTTAGAAGATTTGCTAGAGAATATTAGATCAGATGGCTTAATAGATGGCCTGAAGTTGACCTCAGGCGGAGAGTGGAAAGGGGGGGCGATTGCAGACGACCTAACTATTGCATGTGAAAACTCCCCAGAAGCTCTATCTGAACTGAGGACAGTATTGGATAAATATTGTGAGTTGTCAGAGGCTTCGATAAACTGGGATAAATCAGTCTACTTTCTCCCTCCACCCAAGGTTTTGTGTGTTGATTGGGGATTGAGACAAATCCCCGCAAACTTGGCTGACCGGTTCCTGGGAGTGCAAGTGTCTTTGACAGACTGTGCAGGAATACAAGATTCTCTATTGGTTGAGAGAGTTACAGCACGAGTGGCAGGATGGGCGAAGAGTCACAAGCTTTCGTTGTTCGGAAGAGCCTTGGTGTTATCTTCAGCAGCACTCTCACTACTCTGGTACCCATTGACAATCCACCGGTTGGGAGAAGATGCTTATGCAAGTATCAAGAGATGTGCAGCGCGTTACCTATGGAAACCGGCGGCATTGGAACACCAAGGCTACTTAACTAAAGTGGCTTGGGACCTGATTACGGCTCCGAGAGAGGGGGGAGGCCTGGGGATACTGGACCCAATTCAACAGAACAAAGGGCTCTTAGGCAAATGGGTCATCTCGGCAGTTTTTGGCAACAGGTTCAAGCTCTGGGTTCAACTGGCAGAAGATATTTTGGTCAAAGAATGGAAGCTATCCAGTGTGGCTCACGTCTGGGTGTGCCTGCTTATTCCTTCGTTCACAAGAAGAAGACCCAAGTCCAGGGTCTGGAGGAATATCCTTCGGGCCTGGAAGGAGATTTTCCCTACCCACCAGACCCCTCCAGCAACCAAGTATGAAGTTCTGAACCAAATCTTATTTGAAAAGGGCTTCATAAAGCAGGCAGATGGCTCAACCTTCGCTGCAGACGGTGGAAGGGGTTCTTTTGGTCGACAGTGGGTACAAAGGGGAGTGGTGCAGGTAAAGGACATCTGGGACACACAAACCAAAGATTGGCAGGGCACAGAGCCGGTGCGAACAAAATTAAGATATCTGCAGAGCGTACCAGACAACCTGCATAAACTGCAGCAAGCAATTCCGGAGTATTGGCTCTCCATCCTTAAGAGTACGGGAGTGAAGCCTCCGGACACGTGGTGGGAAGATCCGGACGATAGTCGAGGAGTGGTGAAGATCTTGGGCCCCGAATTGGGCCAGGGGACAAAGGTGCAATACTGGCAAGAACAGCTGAGT